CGCTGGTCGTAAAGAGGTAACCGTTGTCTCCTCGACTCGGGGCTTCTTTCTTCGGGGTGAATGTATGGAATGGTATATGAGGTTTGGATCTTTTTGATGGAGAAAGAGGCTGAAAGGATGCGAGTTAATTATCTATTTGCTTATGGAGGATTCGCGTATTTATTGAGGATTAGATGGGGTGACGGTTAGTGTGTTGTAAGGGTCTGTGAATTGAGAATGAGTGTAGGGAATGAACACACGTGCCTGTCCGGCGAACAACTTAAGAAAGCAACGTCATCCGCGATTACGCAGAAGTAACGTCTCGTAACAAAGAAATATGGAGAAATATTTTTATTGCGTAGAATAGTCAGGTGAGGAGAGAAGGACGCCATTGTCGCAGCTTCTCCTCACGCACGCATGGCGGCGCTGACTTCGCGCGGTGGAGGGGATGCACGGTATCCGGCTTCCCGGTAAGTTCCTTCGATGGGATTGATTCGATTCCGTATGCATTTCCGTGGAAGTAATATTCGGGCCGCGTAAAAATAGCATTGTATATTTACTGGCCAATTTTTTCCGTCGATTCTTTGTGCAGCGATTTGTAGATTTTACAGGTCGAGTTGTCGGTGCTGGTACAATGCCGCCTAAAGTTCAACGTTTCTCAGTGGGTACGTAGATCGAGAGAGACAGAACTATGTCTCTCATGCAGATGTGGGAAGCATGTATCTACGAACGCAGCATGTGAGTTGAGAGTTCAAACAGGAAGTTTGATAAAGTATATAATCGACGTACACAAATGATTTTTCTCAACCGAATCACTGCTATTCCTTGACTTTAATGAGTCACGTTAACGATTCGCTTATTGTAAACGACACCGAGTTACCTACGAGGAATATCAATTGACGTTTTGCATAAAATATGCAACAATTGAAAATAATTACTCGATAAATTGATTCAATTGACGTGGACGATATTAATATTTAGCCACAACCCGTTCCTATAATAAATACAACTGACACGATGTTACGTTAGTTAAACAGCAACTTCGATATGTAGAACAATATTCATTCCTTCTACACAGAAAATTTTATCGCATGATATATAGCATATAACCTTCGTCTCTCTTGTGGGCATCTGTGTAATTCGAACTAGTACCCAAATATGTTTAACAGGTTGGGGTCAATGTATTCCAGGAGTCCCTATAAACACTAACGTGTTTACCAACCCAATATGACGCTAGAATACCACACTAACCAAATCCCAAGTCTCACATTTCCAATTTTCACTTTACCATTACTGAAATCCAATTACCTTCGATAGAATTCATATCAATTAATTAGCTTCCCTTATGACTCTGCAACAATTATTATTTGTACTATTATAAATATTATGCATAGCTAGTTTTGCAAGCTGTATTGGATCAAACGATCAATTACTGACCATCTCGCAGGCCCAGAAGACCCAAAATTAAACGCAAACGAATCCCAAGGACGAAACAGAGGAAGGCCAAGACGTTCCACCGCACATGCGCAGAACCGGCTCGCGTGACCCGTCGATTCGCTCGGCACAAGAGGAATGACCACGTTATTTGCATACATCAGCAGAGAGTATAGTGGAATATTCCCGCGAAAATGTCCTCTAAACGGACGTCAGAAGGGTCCACTCGTGCGCGGCCAATTCAGTTAATTTCATCTGGAGAGCCAAGGACACGATTTTGCGCTGCTTGCCTTTCTGGATCGTGACTTCCGCCTCTTCTTCTTCGTCGTTCTTCTCCTCCCGCTTCCTTCACCGTCACGGTCGCCTGCCTTTGTTAGGCGAAATTCCTCTCAGGGTCCCTTTTTGTTGAGATCATCGCGACTGCGTGTGACGACACGGTCTCCGACAAGAAGAAGAGCGTGGACGGGAGCGAATCAGCGCAGAAGCAAGCGGAAACCGGTTTCGAAGTTGAACGAAGAAGCTGATCAGCCTTGGTTGGTTAGTTAACACTTGCCGGGATAGATCAGAGAGCCGAGGCAACGCTGGAGAGCAGAGAATGCTGTCTCTAACTTCCTCTCATGCTATCTCTAATGTCATCTGGCTGACGGTTTCGTAGGAAGTTAGGCTAGCTGTTCTGGAAGCACTCCGCGGGTTAGAAATTGGGGATAGGTTGATGCTTAAGGGAAGACTTACTATCTTATAACAACGTATTATGATTTGGTCTTGGGTCACGTGATTTCCTACTTTGACACATGTATTGAAAATTTTATATGTTTTTCTTTGTGATTAATATATGCACATGTTCTCGTTGAATATTTTCCAGATATTTTTCGGCATAACATAAATTAACATAACATAAATACAGCAACTTCTCGGGACATAAAAGAATATTGAAATATTCTTCTCATATTCTGCATTATTTCAAAAGGAATTAAATTTGATAATAACAAATTTAATAACGTTTACTTAAAATATCTTTTACTGCTCTTCATACTGGAAGAGTTTTTCACACAGATCACTTCAAGTTTAACACTAGAACTACTATTCCAGTGGAAATGATTGCTTACGGATTTCTTCTCTTCGGAATTACTAAAAATATATCCTAGCTCTTCAAAGAATTAGTATTAACTCTTATTGCGATAGAACAATAATGAATACACTTACTAACTTTTATCGTACGATAAAAATTAATATCATCTATGTCTGCTATGTTTATGTGCTCATTAAAGATTACTAATTTCCGTGATAATAATATTTATTTGAAATATCGTTCTCATATCTTCCGCAGCTGGAGAGTTACAGCGCAAAATATTCGCCTCTATTCCTATTTATTTTCAGATAAACAGTGTTTAGCTCGGTGATACCAAAGTGACGAGCAGAAAAGGGAAAAGGAAAATACATTGTAGATAATATCGTATTATATTCCTGGAAGAAATGAAACTTGTGTCTTACTCCACTGTGATAAATTTTCCCTATTTCGCACGTTGTGTCACAGTAACTCGTCAAACGTTAACGGGAATTGAGTTTAACTCGTCGTAATTATCTATTGCAGCATTAAGGTCCGTACACATCGGCGCGAAGAGACAGTAAATACGGAAAAAGATAATAAATCGAATATTAAATGTAAAGTTTAGACTGTTCACGATGTAGTCAATTACTCTGAAGACACAACTAGGACTTAGCTACAACGCAATTTACTGTTTTCTTCTCAGAATTTAATTGCGATTGCATCATCACGTCGAGTTTGAAATTGCTTTAGTGTTCCAGTGTACTTCACACCTAACTACAATCTACTACGAGCAGACTTACATAATACCTTACTATAAAACTATAAATCTGCGAACTAAAATTATCCACACATGGGTACAGTATGAGGCATATGGTTAAATAACGACACAATTCTCAAATTCTCCAAACTCGGGCCCTGGGAAAATAGGTTTCTTGACTGGTCTCTAGCAAAATCATATAAAGCCGTTGAGAGACTTACACCTAACTGACATCTTCACGAAAAGTCCAACAGCAAACCAACACACGTGCCAATAACGTTCATTGCCATACAGCTCGTGATAACCAAAAGATGACTGGCTAAAAGTTCAGTCAACATTCGCAAGACACACTCTGAAGCCAGATGATTGCATCAGAAGCTCTGACAAGTTCCTCCAAGTACCTCAGTATGGACGAATCTTTAGGTCTACCGTGAAAGCGTCTCATATCAAGGCTGAGTCTCCCACTCCGTGCTACACGCGTCTGCTTTCATCACACGGTGAATGTTATCTGTGTATGCAGGACAATAGTTCATTCCCAGCAGGCTCTGTTCAGTGTCAGTCCGCGATCGCAACCGGTTAGGAGCACATAGGGCCGATCGTCTGGATAATCGTGGGTCTAACTTGGTGATGCGATCATGTGCGAACAACCGGAGGATGATTGTGCCTGGATAGACGACTTGATGGGCAAGATCGCCGACAAGCTGGACAAGAACTTCGACGATATTCGCTACGAGGTGTCAACGCCCACCGACTCGTTCTGCGTTTCCACCCTCACGTTCCTCAACGTCATCGCCAACTCCAGCTCGGATAACAGCGAGAAGCAGAGCGTGACCAACCTGGTGGTGAAGAGAATGTCTCCAGAGGCTGACCTAAGACAGGTGCTGAAATCGAGCGAACAGTTCCACAACGAGATACTCTTCTATGAGTGGTATGGCAAGCATTACGACAACTTGCCGCGCTGCATCTACGCAAAGGACGCGCCACCTGCAGACTCGGTGATCGTTCTTGAGAACATGGTCAGTCTCAGAGGCTACAGTCTCTCTCAGCTCAAGTACGACATCTCATTGGACTACACTTTGGCTGCAGTCCGAGAAATGGCGCGGTTCCACGCCAACTCATATGCGATGAAAGAGCACAGGCGAGAGGACTTTTTCGCTTTTGTGGACAACATACAGGAAGCTAGATTCTACCCGGAGACCAATGTGAAGATGATCTTCGACGAATCGGCGACTAGGTCAGTGGAATATCTTTGTAAACAGGGCTACGACGAAGGGTTGTGTGACAAGCTGCAGGCTCGGTTCGAGAACACGTACAACAACCTGATCCTGAAGTACGTCGAGCCTGAGGAACCTCTCGCTATCTTGTGTCACGGAGACTTCACGATAAACAACACGCTGTTCAAGAAGAAGAACGGTGAACTAACAGCTATGCTGATCGATTTCGCATTGATTAGGTACGGGTCACCTATCCTGGACCTGTCCACCTTTCTGAGTCTCCACTGTGCGAACGACCTGGACAAAGATATGCTGCAGAATGTCCTGGAAGTGTACCACAAGACTCTCATAGAGAATCTGGAGGAGAACGGTGTGGATTCCGATAAGTTTACGTACGAGGCTCTGTACGAGGAATATAAGAGGAAAGGTCTGTTTGGGTTCTTCATCGCCTCGTTCTTTTTGAGCGTACAGATGGACAGGACTGAGCTCCGTGCAAAGGATGCGTCGACGATGGATATGGACGAATGGGCCAGGACTATGCGGACGTTAGGTGGAGACGAGGTTTCCGAGATTTTGGCGAATATGTTGTTGAGGCTGAAGGATGCTGGATGTCTGGATCACGTGCTTCATTGATCATCGGTATTATTTTTCTTTGGGAATTTTCTGTTTGATATTGGAACTACTGATCTGTGAGATGTTCCAGATATAGTATGCGTGCATGGAAGATTATAATTCTAGTGGTATGACGAAAGTGTTATTGGTACTGCAAGCCTGAAACTAATCGTGCCAACTGGCTTGGTAATTCTAGCGTTAATTTTTCTGAGTATTTCGAGTATTGATGCAATAGTCTACTATTAAATTAGACGATATTTCTTGCGAGTAAAGGTTATGTACACAACAGTCAAAGTATGTTTATAAATAATTAGGATAGAACGTAGGATTATTGTTACGGCAAGAACAATGAAGAGAAAATAAACGTTTCCTGGATGAATATTAAAGTTTCGTCATCTCTTTTATCGTTCCCTTAACGGAAGATTCTTTGTGCAAATATTGCCGATCCTCTTGATATTTCCATTGTCACCAATCGTAGTGTTTACAGTTGAGTAAGATATACGCCAGCACTGATTTATGATCATTAATTTCGGAGAATTTCGTGAAAACTACAGAACCAAATAAACTATTGTGTAATACGTGAGAGAAATAGTATCGTCATCATTTTAGTATTTCCTGGTGCTGTTAAAGAATTATCGCAATAAAATAATCGAAATTTAAAATACGAAAATTTTATAAATTCAAACATACGTGTGAATTATTTATACGTTATAAATTTGTCTGATATGCAACACTAACTGTATATACCAATTTTATATTTTTCGCTGTGTTACTCGGATCAGTGTATGGCAATTTTTATTTCTTTTTGCATCCTTACTGGTGAAGTAATCACCAGTTTATTTCTCAAAGTAATCACGAATGGTAGTATTTTCTTAGTCCCTCAACAATTAATCATTTATATAAATTTCTTTATACTTAAAAACGACACGGAATAGAAATCAAACTGTAGATCTCATTTTCATTTTTTAATACAGTATGTTTAGTATAAAGTTAAATTTAACATCTGTCTAAATTCGGCTAAACGAATTACCTTGTAATTTAGTTCATCGATAATTGAACACCTAAAGCTCACTAAACAAACAAAAAAGGAAGAAAGGGAATTAAAAACAAACGTAAAGAAAGGAAAAGTTAATTCCCGAAGTAACTAGAAAATACTCCATCCACTCACGCTGCGCGAAGGTATCGTTTCCATAACGAAACGCTATCGGAAGGTTCGTCGTGTACCAGCTGCAACAAGATGCGTTTTCATAGGTATACGCGCTGGAAACCGAGTGCAACGACGCGGGTAAAAGGCTGGTTTAGAAGCGCTGGCAATGTAGGAACCCAACGTCATGCATATCCGGCGAAATAAAGCACGAGGCACCGCTACGATGCGCGAAATTATTCTTTCGCTTATATGCAAGTACGGATCTGCCTTTCAAATAGAGGCACTCCGCGATGTGCGCGGAAAAACTTTGTCATTTCCATATATTTCGCCCAGGACTGACAGCGCCGTCTCACGGGAAATTCACTTACACTCTAACCTGAATTTTAAGCCCGTTAAATTCTGCTCGTCGCGGCTGGCGACCGTGCACGGCCGCGTGTCCTTGGTCGACTGCGTGCAGACGGAGTGGGGGCAGCGGATGGAGTGGGGGTAGCGGCTAACGAAAGAGTGGGGGCGCTATCGTTGCATGGAAATGGACCTAAGACACGCGAGACTTAAGTTTGCGTTTCAGGAGATGAAGCACGAGGAAGAATGTGAGCAATGGTGATTGAAAATTAACGGAGAGGAAAAATAGTGTGCGCATCGTGAGAAGAATTTGATAATATTATCGTCTTGTAAAACGAGCTTTGATATGAATTGTTTCTATGATACTGGCTGGCATACGGTGCACTATTGTTCGACTCGCTTTCAGTCGATCTTGGTACTTCTGTTAGTTGCGAATTCTTGGTATTACGTTGGAAAATTCTTATGCTATGAGGAAGTAATAACTCGAGGAATGTCGATGGCTATTATTTTCTGAAAATGTGAGATTCTACGAAAATTACTAGGTACCATTCTTTACGTCCTTCACTCTGACATTTCGCTTTTTTAAACTAGCTAATTTGTGCTTTAATTACACGCGGGATAATTGACAAGTGAAACTGTAAATTAAGGTGGAATTTCTTGTGTAACAGAACGAACGAAATGACTGAAATTTCCGTGCACTCGGATATTGTATAATTTCGAAGATTTCCATATGGTGTTAAATCATTTTATAGAACATATTGTATCAGCATTTGTAAATAAGTCCACAGTATCATCGTAGGTTACATAAAAATAGTTTTGCGGCACAAACTAAATTATCTGCATTCTTATCGAGACGAATTTACGTGTTTACGACTTTTAAGTGTTTTCTCTTTGATTTACACGATTACTATAGAGTCTGAAAGAAATATTTATCTTGCTTCTCGAATCACACGCCACAATAATAGAGTTCTGCTTTTTATCACTACCTAATCCGATTAAATAACGTTTATACCAATTCTGTTATCTCTAATTTGATATCTAGATTATCGAGTTCCATCGTATCTGCAAGAGGCTCGAATTTACTATCTGTTTGTATGTGTACATGAAGTTTCATATCAGTTTGGAGTTTCACTGCTTTGCAGTGATCACTATGAGATTATCCAAAAACTACAATGCAAGTGATTGAATAATATGCAGGTCGAACGTTATACACACGTAATTCGCAATAAGCTCATGTACAATTCAAACTTGACACTCTGCAGTTGGTTATGAAATATCTCTATATGTTCAGATGACCAGGTGATGTACATTGCTTCTCTATTATTGATGCTTTGCTTTAATATATTATTGATCAATTTCTTACGAATAATAGAAAATAAAATACACTCGCATTTACTTACAATAAGACTCTTTACATCAATATAGCATTGATAATATTATCCAATGATGAATTTTTATTTTCTTTTAAGTCATATCCCTAAATATTATTATTTTTTTTATTATTACTATTTCAATTGTCTATACATACCTAATACATTAAACTATTAGACTAACACGATAATGGGGCACATAAATTGATTATTGAACTTTGAAAGTGCACCAAAAAATATATCTTCAACATTTTTAACTGATATGATAAAATAATAGCTATATTCTTTATTGACTTAGAAATGATTATAATAATGCTAATTAATATTCTCACAATTAATTATAATTCCATTCCTTTCACTAAGTAAACAGTCACACGTTATACGTTTCAAAAATTCTTAAGGCACATTTAGAACTTCTCAGAGTACACACTGCTCAAAAATTGCTGAAACTTGATATTCTCTCGGCTGGAATGTTCCAATGGAAGCTTCGTCATTAAACCCAAGTCTCGCAACAATAGAAATCATCTTGTATTCAGCGGTTGTCAATCGCTCTAATCACTGACATCAGAAAGGATTTTATCGCCACAAAAAGTAGAAATGTTTCGTTATGTTGGGTAAAATAACGTTTATGCGAGCGAACGAAGCTTTTCGTGATTGCGTGATGGCAGGTAACGCGTTGCGCTATCTAGCGGCGAATCTTCCGAGTGCTCACATTTCCAGTGCTGTATCACTTCTACGTCAATGGACGCTTGTTATATCCTCACGATTTCGACATGGGCACTGGATACTCGTCAAAGTAGTTACACCGATTCGTTCAAGCAAAGATGCATTGGTTTCACTAATAAACTATGTCGATTTTTCTTTTTTTTCACTCCTTTTGGTGGAACAGAGTGATGCTGCTAATCTATTAACAATTTATCGCAGGCTAATTGGAATTAGATAATACAGGTCGAAATGATCTCATTAAATTTGATGTATTAAAAACACCGACGTAGTTTTCTGGCCAATCTTTATATAACGATGATACTGAGTCTTCGAGATGATACTTGGATGATAGTGGATTATCTCTTCTAGGCTCTTGAGTAATTTCACGATATTTTAAGCAACATAATTGATCACGATAGTGGAAGCATGATATATTGGTATCTTGCTTTCAATAATTGCGTAATGTTATTAAGTGACATAATCAAATAGAGATAGTGTTAATATCGCAATATTTTGCAATTCTGGACATTTTTCACAGGTGCTTGGATCAGGGATATACGGGGTGGAGATAACACTGTATGATTCAGCATTTCTGAAAACTCTTGTTTACCTCGGAACAAAATAACTTTTGTTTCTTTCCTTTATGAAAGATTATTCTCGCTTTGTTTCGATGTAAATTAAAATTGATGACAGTAGGCAAAATTTTGTATTGCTAGCTAATTTGACATCAATAAAATTAAAATTTCCAATCTCATTATTTATTATTCGAATTTATATTAAATGTTCTTAAATTAATGATTTATAAATTGCAATTAGAATTTATATTAATATTTACTTTCATAATATACTTAGTATGTAATTATTCGTATATCGATAATATAAATGAATTTATCTCATACGAAGAATAAAGGTAAATTAGAGAATTATAATATATACGTATAGGATAATGATGAACATAAAAGAAAAAGTTTGACTCAGGTTAAGAGAATGTGTAAACACGTACTTATACATTATTAGGTCTTCCAGAACTATGACACGGTTATGAAAGAACTTGCCTATACAGATATAAATAAAGGTCGGTCAGTTTACAGTTCGACGTATTTGCTTTAGCTTCTTCGACACAGTAGAATTTCTGTAGTCGATTGTGGTATGCTTTAAGAACATACATATGTAATATATAACATATAACAACATATAGCAATATATATTATATACTTATAATAATTACATTTCATTCTGTGTATACCTGTCAATACATGTCAAATATTGTCAATGAAAGGGAAATAGGTTTACACATATGTACGTATATATACCTCTTTTTCATCTAATACGAATTCGTAGAATGAAAGCTTGTACTATAAATTTGTACCAATTTATTCGACGATAGTTATTAAACACGTTAATTACACATGTAATTACTTCGTTAATTTGTAGGAGATTAATTGCCTTCCCAATGGATAATGTTAGTTTTACTCATTTAGGATGCCAACGGTGTTTCTGTTAGCAAACGTTAGGCTTTAGTTAGCATGTCGAATTGGCATGCCTGGTCGTTAAAGCGTTATTAGAAACGGTAATGGAATAAGTTGGAACGTGATTAGAAACTAGTCAATTAAAAAGTTAAAGGGGCTTCACGACGTAAACGAAATGTAGACTATCGGAAATCTCAACTTGAAATTTAGATGGAATCCACGTCCGGCTCGCCAGCACTCGTCAGAACGCAAACCAATCGCGTCCGTTCCCGTGCTATGGCTTTATTGACGCACGTCACTTATACAAACATGAAAACGCGTCAAAAAATATGTATCACGGTGCTTTTATCTCTGATTTATACAGTGTCACGCGTGTCCAGAACCACGGAACATGGCGGCTGGTTAAACGACTCAGAGACGTGACAAGAACCCCATTTTTCTATTAAATCGAAAGCAATACGTACATGCCG